GGCAGCTCTACTAACTCACTGTTTAGAAGCTGCGGCACTACGAGAAGTGAAACTCAGGTTGGTTTTGGAAGGTGTCCTTTAGTTTCAGCAGGTACTCTGTCAGGCCCGCTCATCTCAAAGCTGTCAGGTTCTACTCCAAACAATCTGATGTGCAGAAACGTGTGTTCACTATCCGTCTCCTGGAAGGAGATGAAACAGCTTGATGTGGACGGAGGGATCCGCCTCTCCCTACAACAGGTAGCGAGCAGCTGGGACCAAAGATGGAACCAAACTCCACTTCAGGGGTTTCTGTCAGGCTCTCTGTGCGAGCTGCTTTCTGCCTCATATGGCGGCGTGCTGGGTTTAGCTTAGCCGTTAATCCTGACCTGAGCAGCACACACACCAGATATGGAGCTCCTCACTCACGTCTTCAAAAGATGGTGTTTCACAAAAGCTGCTGGAAACCCATTTGATTAAAGATCTACCAGCAGCTGCCCTCCAGGTCAGACAGCAGCAGCAGGCAGACGCCTTGATAGCAGAAATGACTTAAACAATCCAACAAAGTGGCCAAAACTGGACAATTTAGTTCAGTTTTTATACAATTTGTAGTTCGCATGAATTTAAAAAAAACACTTAATAACCAGAAAGGCAAACAACAGTATTACATGTAGTGTTATTGAACTTGGTAATAAAGAAACGCTAAACACATAAAAACACATGAACCTGACAGACATCTGACTCAGGCCAGGATCACGTAGAGCTGGTGTCTGATACCAACCTGGAGGTGCTGAAGGTCGTCTTCCTGCACGTTCTGGGACAGATTGTACACCTGAAACACACACAACAAACCACAGCCCTTATCTGTTAGTCACCCAACACGCTAATCACACGGCATGAGCTAAAGCCTACACCTCCACAAACATGCAGCTCAGCTACTGATGGCTGAACATGGGACAGTCTGCTGCAGGGATGTTACACGGACTCTATACTCGTCATACTGTCAGGTCTTAATCAATAAAAGCCCAGAATGAGTGTTTTCTGAGCTGAGCACATGTCAGAAGCAGACAGCTGACCTGGACAGAGCTGGTCATGGTGCTCAGGGCGAACAGTGTGGCGCAGTCTTTGATGGTGGACTGGCTGTCAAACGCCCCCTGTGTGTCGATTAGTAAAACTGCAACCTGCAAAAAAACCCAACAAACACTCATGTTAGTCCTAAAACTCCTGCTTAACTAGAATATTTTGTGTAGTTAGTGGGATTACACTGATCGCCTGCCTCTGTAAAGACCTGAAACATCCTGAACCATTAAACCAGCAGCGGATTAGAAAGGCAGGTGATCTTTAAAAAGCTGCTAAAATAACACAGTCCAGCCGTGTCTCGATGATCCGACACTAAATGTAAAACCTTCTTCTATGTCGGATAGCAAGGCTGTCGGACTGTCCAGACGGAGGTCCAGATACGAGGAGGGCTTGATGCTGGAAGGCTCATTAGTTGTTCATTATTGTTCATAGTTGTTATAATAACTAGTAGGGCTGGTCCCAGTAGAACTTTCTGGGCCCAGTTAATGATGAACATCAGAACATTCTGTGCGGTCGGGGGACACTTCCACCCCGGGGCAGCGCTCTGACGGGGTGGAAGTGTCCAGAACACACAGGCAGTACTTGGCTGCTGATGCTAGTTTAGTTAGCGCTCACACTTCTGTTTCCTCCATCGGTGGCGGCGGGGGAGTGGCAGATACGCTCCACCGTTACCATCCATGTTTACTTCCATAAACACTGAGCACGCTCGCTGCGTGTGACGTCGTCGTGTCCTCTTCTGCGCATGCGGGACACTTTTGGCTCGTATGAAGTTCACACAGCAGATCACATACAAGTCGCATTGAAGTGGAAACGTGAAGGAAGTCACAAAGAAATCCTCATTGAGCATCAAGTCCTGCAGTGTGAACGTAGCCAATCTGTGGGATTGTTCAGTCAGATAATACGCCGTCATCCTGATTGGTGACATTAAATGTCATGTCGGAGTCACAATCCAAGGCTGTCGCTATGTTAAGGCTGTTTTTATGGGTTCTGTTGGTTTTTCCTAAGAACCTGTCAGATAGCAGGTTTAGGATTGTTAAGGGTCGATTATGGAGTCATGACTGTAAATAAAAATTCTGTTTATTTTTGTAACTTTAAAAACTTAATTGGTGACACGTGTACATCATGTAGAGAAACCATTTCCAGTGTGAGCAGCACCTGGGGCACGTGTGCTGGGCACAGGGAGATTAACAGGCTTTTAATTTCTGTTTTGAAAAAAAAACAACACGATCAATGATTTTTTTTTCTTTATTTAATGATGAACGGCTTCACAGCTATGTCATACTGCACAGAGATATTCTTTGAGTTCTCTTGTGTTTTACTGTTTTCATAGAGGTGGAGGTAAAAGTAACAAACACTTAGAAATGACTTGTGGTTCAGAAGGTTGAAGAAAGAGCTCAACGGTTGACAAGAGGCAGTGAGCGGTTAGGGTGAGGCTTAGCCTCAGTGTCGGCTGGTGCACTGACCTTGCTGCCGTCTGGTTTGTTCACCACGAACACCTCGCTCCAGGCCAGGATGCCCGTGGTCTCCCTCTCACAGCCGCCCCGCCAGGTGAAGCCGGTCAGAGGCTCCTCCTCACCGCCAACCCATGAATCGGACGACTGGAAGACGACAGGAGCAAAGTTCTCAGCACTGTCCCTGTGTCATATCACATAATGACTCCAGGAGGAAAAGCCTTTTGTCTGCAGGCTCTCCAAGTTCAACGTCTCTACATTTCTAATACCACGTGGAAAACCATAAAGCATTAAAGATAGTAATAGAACATGAGTAGGGATATTTATATCACAGTACCTACCTGTAGCACAGCACACTGATCTAACAGGAAGTGGATTCATTTCTGACACAAATATTATAATCTATTTGTTAGTCAACAGAAAATCAGTCACTCGTTTACCAATCAATGATTTATTGTTCAAGCAAATATGTCACAGTGTGAAAATATGACTGATTATTCATTAAACCCGAACTGGACGAGCAGATGGGAATGGATAGATGAACAAATAAATGACAAAACAACAACAACAACTAATGCACCCGGACAGTGAAGTGTTTAGTTTCCAGACTATACGGTTCTGACCCGTGGCCCAGCCCTGGTGAGTTATACAGCATACAGAAACATGCTAGCATCGCCTGTCATGGCTGAAAGCAACCAAAAGTCATTTTCCAGACTTGTTCTTTCCAACCCGTGCAGAGCTGTGTGCACAGCAGCCTCAGCGTGACCGGACCTGTGCAGCCGGGGCTTATTCCGCATACAGACGTCCTTTATGTGTGGAATAAGCAGCAGTGAGCTCTGTGGAGGCCCAGCCACACAGCTGCCATTGTACCGGCCTAAAATCCTCTTTACCATGAAACCCTTCAGAATGTTCCTCTGTGCTCACCGTAGATTAACACGGTCAAAGGTTGAGTCACAGACACTGATTCACTCCACAGGCCATTTCACACACCAGCACGTCGCCTGGATGCATCTCTGCTGGTTTCACACGGACCGCTGACAGAGAGTTAACCGACCAGTACCCCAGCAGGTGGGCTTCAGGGACACTAAATTAGTCAGGTCATTGATAAGTGGACTGTCTGGATAACCAATGAATCGTTGCAGCTGTTTGTCCAGCTTGTGAGGGTACAATACACCTGCTATTACTGTGAGGATCAAAGAGTGTCAGCTGCTCATCACGAACTGGGTCTGCCTCTGTCTGGTACCGCCCATCTGCACCAAGGTGCTGCTGAGCTCCTTACCGTTCCTCCGTAGGCCGGGCACACAAACAGAACCCACAGACAGAATAAAGAGTGTATCAGACGTAGCCCGGGCACAACGGGCTCAACGTCAGCTACCTTTGCTCTTCCTTCACCAACAGGCCCAGTAGGTTTTATGTATTTTCTACACAGCCACACAAAGCATGACCTGCTCACCGGAAACTGCTACGACCAAAAAAACCCACAGTTCAGTCATCCATGTGTATATAAATGAGCAGACCTCTCGCAGACCTACAGGCCAGACCTCAGCAGGTCTCATGTCTTCACCAGCAGAGAACGTCTCTACCTCAGGGAGGAGGAGTGAGAACGTTCCTCACTACGTGATGGTGTTCTGCCACAGACAGCCCAACAGAACAAGACCTGTAGCTGAGCTGTAGGGAACACGGTCCCATCTCAGGGTCCATGTAGAGCCTTTCCTGGAGATCAGCTGCTTCACACGGGCCTAGCCAGCACAGAGAGCGGTCCGATCACATACCTGCTTTTTCAAACTACTTCTTTAAGGTCAAGAACAAACTTGCAGAGCATCACTCCCAACTTGTTCCCATTGAAGTCTGTTCCTAAACAGTAGGCGCATGTATGTTGATGAAGTTAGTGGTCGCTGCAACGATTCCTCCAGTCTGACATCACAACCTGCATTCAGGGAAAAACGTCACCTCAAGCTAATATTGAACAGCTGGAGTCAGGTGGCTTGTTTTCCCTTTTTCTTTCTAAGCATTTTAATGTGTTTGATCAGAGAATGACCAAAGAAAGCCATGTTGTTCAGTACAGAACTCCCTCTCTGTGCTGTCCTCCCCGACTCCCTCCAGTGAAGAATGTAGATATAATGTAGATAGAACGGATTCTCATACAGTGAGTTCAACCTTCTAGAAAGAAAACGGTGGAACATGGAAACTGACCTGTGATGTGAAACCTTCAACACATTACAAAGACCTACTTCACTGTTCTTCAGAAAACCTCCATACTTCTGGATGAATATCCAAACAGCTGGTATTGAAACACAGAAAGCATTGAAGCATTTTTCTGTTTTTTTGACAAACAAACAAACAAACAAACAAGCCTTGGCAGAGACATGTTGATGTAGAGTGTGGAGCCCCGTTTGGTCACCAATTAATTTCTCTAACGAAGCTAAGCTGATTTTATTATAACCTTATGTAGTTATCTTTATTTTTGTCATGTAAATCAGCTCATTGTGTGAGTTGCTGTAGTCTGTTTTTCCTGTTCATCTGGTTTGTGTGTCGCCTCTTGACCAGGTCGTTATGGATAATGAGAACCAGTTCTCAGCTGACTTACCTGGTAAAATACAGGTTAGATAAATTGTGCAGAACAATGAGTTAACTCAACAGACCCTCAGCTGACAGAGTACCTGCTTGTACATGTAGCGCAACATGAAGTCCAGCAGGAAGGACTTGCCCTTGCGGAAAGCTCCAGCCACAGAGACGACAACCACATGAAGGTCCTGCACCTCCTCCTGCAGCAGTAGCCGCTCCAGCGCCTCCTCCTGCAGCCAGAACGAGTGCTCCTCCTCGTCCGCCACCACGATCTGCACCGGCCGGGCCACGCCCACCTCCTCCTCTTCCTCCTCCTCCAGCAGGTTGTCGTCCTCTGTCTCACACCTCATCTGGGATTTGTCCGATTTCAACCCGTGACCACCTGAGAGGGAAAAACGTGGTTAAAATTTGACTTGAGGTTCACGAGAAGGCTCAGAACACAAAGAAGTCTGCACAGGTTCCATCTGCACACACATCAGCGCCTTTCCACTCCAGGAACTATGCACAGGTGCAAACAGGTACGGCCTGATAATCAGCCCTTTGTGCCTTTCTCTTCCCACCACGGTGTGGGATCAGCCGGATCAGTCTGCTAATAGTACAGCTTCCTCAGAACAACAGGTCTGAAGACAGTGTATGGACCTTATAGTTTGTTTACCAGCATTTCACAGCAGCTCTGAATGTGGTTCAGCCAATCATGGGCCAGCACTCTGTTCTATACGGCAAATGTGTTGATGGCAACGTTTAGGAGGAGGACATCGCTACAGCTGTTGTTCTGTTGGGGCTGGGTTGTTGTTGTTGTTGTTGTTTGTTGTTTTGTTTTTATAATGGTGCTTGCTGCAGTTGTTTTCTCCAAGTTTAACCAATCAGCATCGAGCTCCATCCAGAAGACTCTCCATGGCCCCTCACAAGTCCCTACCTCAATGCAGGTACTAGTTTTTAGTCCCAGAGAACACCAGGATGTCCTGTAGTGGAATGAACATCATATTACCGTGATGACTCGCTGGCAGAAGCAGACATTCACTGGTCAAAACAAGTTAACGTGTTAGTTTCTATGTCACATTTTAAGCACACTTTCAGACTGACAATTGTTGACTGCTTGTCAGTATTCCATTTAGGCCTATGCTGACATTGATGGGTGGTCGATGATGACGTCAATATCATGGTACATTCTGAGTCTACCGTGATAGGCTGGTTACCTGTCCAGGTGAACCTGCCTTCACCCTGAGTCAGCTGGGACAGACTCCACCCTCCATGACCCTGGTGAGGATGAAGGTGTAGAGATGATGGATGGATTCTGAGTCTAGATCACACAGTAGCATGTTGATAAACCTCTAACAGCCCTTCATACGTGCAGAGCAGCATGTTATATTTAAACAGCCCAGGTTTTGTGGGGATTCTTGTGTGCAGTTGTCATGACAATGGAGACTCAATGGCATGTCTTTGATACTTGGACCTGAGCTCTACTGAACCCGAACAGGTAGTCAGAGGAGACAGGACCTCATCACTCCGAAGTATTCGATCATGTCGATGAAAACTCTTTCAAACTTAACGACAGAGTTTTCACATAAATTCATTTGTAAAAAGCTCCCGTCACAGTGTGCTCATGGACTGACTTCTCATCTGACTGCAGCCCTGAAGGCTGAGTTCATCTCCAGCGATCAATAAACTCTGATGGTCAGAAGTGACAGGGGCTGCTGGATGGAAAAATGTTTTCTGGCCTCCTCCAGTTAGCGAAGCTTCACAGGAGCTCAGCCAAGAGGAAATCACCGGGAATCATTGCTATTATGGGATGGCAGAGCTAGCTGGAGGTTTACAGTAAATAGAGCTGTCGTCAGTGCTACTCTTCAGTCGGCATTAATCTGTAGACCAGGGAAGCTCTGAGCTCTCCATGTATGGCAGTGGTTCTGCTTCCCTGGTGGTTACGTGGTACCCAGATGTTTCAGAAACACTTGGTTGAGACTCTTTGGGCACTTTTGTCTTATCTGACAGATAAGAGTAGGGACAAGCCATTAGTCCCCTAGCATGATGACTTACATAAGCTATGCTGTTAGCATCCTGTACAGCGGAAGACTAAATTATTAGCCCCCAATGAAATTTTATTTTTTTGTCAAATCAACAGATCAATACATTTTTAACACAGCTTTTCCAAGCATCTGAGAGAGGACGTCACTCAGCCCTTAGACTAAGGTTTGGTCAGGATGTGTGCTAATACTGCAGTGTGTTCACTGCCAGAGTGATGGCATTAATTCAGAACCCATGATCCTGTGGTGATCCGATGGTGCTCATTCAGACGCTGCCATCATGTGATTACTCAGCGAACTGAACAGGCCTGAGCAGCCTGCGGCCTCATGGGACGAAGCACAGCGTCTTCATTCAGGTCAAAGCTGGTTGGGCCATGTGAGGCTCTGCAGGCAGCAACACAACTATCTGATCTGCTGTCAGCACATCCGCCCAGCAGCTCCCCCGGTTCAAACACTGTCACGCCGTTGCATCATTCAGGTAAATAATGTACAGGGTGACATAAAAACTGTTTTGGGATGCCTTTGGGACCCTGATATGTGCTTCAGATGTGGCTTTTGAACAGACCAGTGATCCGGTTAATTCAGTCTCCCAGTGCGCTCTGTACAGCACACACACCGCCTGAGGATTCTTCTTTCTTCAGTGCAAAGCTGAAACAATCAGTCAGTAGTGTTGTATGATATATGATTTCAGTCTGAACACTGCAGCGTGTGCATGCACAGTATTCAGACCACAGTAACAGCCTCATCTACAAAATCTGTTCAACACATTCTCATCTGCTTTCAGGTTACTGGACACAGAACTACTTATGGTTTTATTTAAAACACACAAGTCATGCAGATTCTGCATGTGCACGGTGAAATTAGCTGGGATCAGGAGAGAAACACTAAACGTAACCCTCTCAGCCGCCCGTCTTTGGCTTCTCTACAGCGATGAGCGCAGTCACCCCGTCTGTGGGCTCTGCGACCTGACACATGATGCCGTTCTTCTCCATGCTGTCCAGCTCATCTTTGAGTCGGTCTCGCAGAGCAACAGGGCTTCTGCGTGGTGGGCAGACTGTAGGTGCTATGTCTGGGTTAACACGGAAGTTGCATGCGTCCAGAAGTTCTCCAAAGCCCTGGAACACGTCAGGTATTGAGGTACTCGTCTGGTATGCTCTGAGAGTCCGTGTCCATTTGTACCCCTTTTCCACCGAACTGGTTCCAGTGCTAGTTCTGTGCTGGTGCTTCGTTGGTTCAAGTCTGGCACATCCTAAGAACTGGTTGCTTTTCCATTGGCCAGGAGCCAAGTGAGAGCCGTTTACCCAACAACGCTCGCGCTATATGGGAGCCCACATAGCAACGATGGAGGAGCTCATCGCGTCCATGCAAGTGCTGTTCCTGGCTTTGCAGGCCTACATTGAGATCCAGAGGCGGAACACCCAACTGTTAGTGGCTACCCATCTTCGTCATAGTCACAGTGAACGCCGACTTCGTTTGAGAAGACTGGTAATTATCAAAGATGTTTTGATCCTTAACAATGCACCTGGTAGTGTTAGCATTAGCATTTGCTTGGCAACTTGGCTTCGACAACGTTTGCATCGATTACCTAGCAGGTAAACAAACGCAATAAGCTGATGACAACATCAATGTTCATCTTCATAGATACACACACACTATTCTTCTGTTTGATATGACATTTCTTCACATCACTAGAATGTATTTGTAATTTATACGTAGACACGTCTTGTAAGCACACTCCAATAACATAACTACTGCAGTAGTGCTGTTTATCTAGCTTGGTGTGATGGTTAAAAAAAAAAAAAAAAAAGACACACATGCTCCTGATATGTTTAAAACTAAGAATCTATGGATAGGAGCGCCCAGATAGCTCAGCAGGTAGGGCGGGCGACCCATGTACAGGGGCTATAATCCCCAACACAGCGGCCGCAGTTTGATTCCAGCCAGCGGCTCATTTGCTGCATGTCTTTCCCCCACGTTTCTCTGTCTATCTTCACTGTCCAACTATCATTAAAGGTGGAAAATGTGCACACATAGAAGTATGCACTGAACAGAGTCTCAGAGACAAAACATGCAGCTCTCTTCACAAATTTATTTCTGTTTACACAGTGCAGGTATATACACGTGGGCTGAATACAAAAACCTATAATACAAAGGAAGGATGTATTTCTTTGGCAGCCCGTCCAGCACCAACACCATGCAGCCCATCAAACTAATTAAAGCACTTGAATTATTGTCCATCCTTTCTATGTTTTCGAGCATTGCAGTGGCCAGGTTTTGGTCTCGCCGGCTTTGCTCCAAGAAAGGCTCCTCAGACCTGTCCAGGAGCTGCAGCAGATCACCAGAGGCATCCTGCTTCCTTTCTCCTGCATAAAAGCACCCAAAAAATTATGAGTTGTTGCGGTTTTTATCTTTGTAAACACAGTTCATGTCCAGTAAAGTTGTAGTGTGTGATTTTAGGATGGGCCGAACAACAACATTAATCACGTTGTTAGCATTGTCTGGACAAATCTTAGCCGATCTGCTGCAGGACGGCGTGGAGGAGCTGCAGGACGGCGTGGAGGACCTGCAGGACGGGGCTGGTGAGCTGCAGACCAGTGGTGTCGCCTCATCGTCCAGGGCCGACAATCTAAATAAAATGAAAAATAAACTTTGTTGATAGCATCTGCATTAAAAAAAAAAAAAAAAACACCAAAAAAAATCAGTGCATAGGAAGCATAATCAACACATAACAGCACCAATTGAGCCTCCGAGGGAAATGCGATGATTACCGTATAGTTCAGTGATGTGACTGAATACGTTTTGAATGCTGGTCTAGTAATGAATGAAATATTGCTGCTTCTTTTCTCAGGTTGCACTACGCGTTGTTTCGTTGTTCGTTAGCTTACCACCAGCTAACTGGCTAGCAAACAATAGTCAAGGCCAGTCTCTGCACGTCCCACGTTAGCTGGCGTAACGTTCATAATGTTGATGTGGGACTGTTGTAGCTAGCGTTAGTTACTAAACTCACAGCATGCTAACAGCAGGGTGTTTGAAAAATCAGACTTACCAGGATCAGTGGCGGTGGTCTACACAGTCCAGCACGGAGTCCAGCACGGAGTCCAGCACGGAGTCCAGCACGGAGTCCAGTTCAGAGCCTCATCTGAACGGGGCTTTTCCAAATCACTGACCAAGTGTAATCGGTGGCAGTATGTCAATTGAAAAAATGTTCCTGTCCGTCTGTGGTCGCCCCGAGAAGTGCACAGAGCACGAAACTTCAGAAAAACGAGCAAGTTGACAAACACAAAGATCACCAAACGCATATTCAGCACAAAAGCTGTAAAACAGGAACAAGGATTTTTTATGTGCTCCATCATTCTGATGACATGATCCATATACGACTACTGTAACCATGCAGTGTTTCTGCACCATGTTGTGGGGTTTCTGTTTTTGGAGAGCTAAAAAACCAATGAAACTGCTCATACAACGAGTCATAAAGCAGCAGCAGATAGCCACAGAACAGCCTGCAGATACCTGAATGTCTACACTGAGAAGCCCCATACACATGAATGGTAAAAGTGACACAATCTGCTCTGCGAAAAATTCATTGTAGATCTAAAATGCTCATTTTGACTTGGAGGAGAAGAACTGTGGTTATCTCCAATACTTAGTCTAGATATGAAATGTGGAGCGCTCTCCTGATGCAGGCCACTGCCTTGCATGGCAGCTCTGCTACCTTTGCTATCTGTGTTTCAAAGGGGTGAATGAGAAACGTACTGTACAGCTGGGCCATCGCTGTAGCTCACCTGGTTGAGCTGGCCACCCAGGTACTGGAGCTGTAGTCCCCGATGCAGCGGCCATCGGGTCGAATCCCGCTCATGGCCCTTTGCTGCAGGTCCCTCCCCCGTTCTCCTCCACACTTTCCTGTCTCTCTCTCTCGACTGTTCTATCTGATAAAGGCCAAAAATAAGTGTTTTTTAAAAAAAGAATCGTACTATACAGCTCTTTGGAGCTACCAAGGTACAACTCAAGACCATTCAGCATTTGTTTTCTTAATTTGCAGCATTTTTCCCAAATGCTTTGCATGTGTTATCTAGCTGGAAGCTACTAAAGGTGTTGCCTTCATCTGGTTGTGGGCTGTTTCTCTGAATCAGAGCTCCTGTAGCTCCCTCTCTGGGAACCATCATTTAAACGTCAATACAGTTGATCAGACAATGCAGCTGTTGTCCTAAAGCTGTATTATTGACTTTTGATCAAAAGATGGTGATGTGACTTTGTGCCTGGTTCATCAGTGACACACAATCATTCAGATGTCAGTGCGGTTAAACAGGACCTGGTGGCCGACAGCGCTGCTCAACATGACGGCTGTGGTGAAACGTTGGATAACTCGCCAAGCGAGAGGGCAAGAGGGAATAATTCAGTCATCCTCCTGTTGTCCAGGCTCTCAGTGTGGATGGAAACATCTGGTCAGGATAAGCTTAAAGTCCCCCTACCCATCAAGTAGGAGCTGGAATAAAGTGAGTGGATCATCTCTTTTATTCCTCTCTGCAGCAGCAAGCCTCATCAGTTCTCTAACACATGAGCAGTGAACAGGCATTTCCCTTCTGAAAGAGCCAAGTTGGCCTGTATGTTCACTTTAAACTGCATCACGTCCTCTTTGCTCTATGGTCCAATCATCCTCCTCCATTAGCCCCTGTATCACTACACCTGTAGACAGAGTGCATTACTCTCATCTCAGTTCTTCTCAAATGCTTGTATATGCTGCTGAAAGCCCAACAGTCGAGTTGGGCTTCACTCAAACAGAGCAGCATGCTTTTCCAGCATCGCTAACCTTCTGCCCACAGGACATGTTTGGTAGAAGTCAGGAGACACTCACATGTGGGGTGTGGACTGTATGTCACTTAATGAATACACAAGAACGCACTATTGGGGACTTTAAAGGTCTACAATGAGCAACACTTCTCTGAAATGTTATTTTAAAGAGGAAAAAAATCATCTTGCAGCAGCAACGTACAGGTTTCAGAGTTCAAGTGTTTCAGTGGAAATCTGAAATAGTCACTTAGGAACTATTCAAGCCTACTTTCCACACAAACACTGTGTCTGACAGCATCCAGTCCCAAACTGATTCAGTGTGTGCTGATGTTCTGTGAAAAAGCACTTGCTTATAAACAGTGAGCATCCTGAAGAACTCCCTTTCTGAGGGAGCTGTAGCACATCCTGAACCAGCAGCGTAGCAGGAAAGCAGCTAATCCATCTCAGTGTGTGAGTTTAAATCCTGAATGTGGAGAATCAGGAGGACAATAACAGTGCAGTTACATAGAAACCATAGGACTCCTGATGCCTCGGTCTTTGCCTCTCGTTGGTCTTGGTACACATGTCACCTGCCTCATACAGCCCAAACACCAGGGCTTGTCCAATCCAACTATGAGATATTGTGGACAATCATAACGTGCCGTATGCTTTTCAGAGCAACTGTTCAATGCCTTCTAACAGCCTCCCTAGGTCACTGTGGTGCTCCTCCAGTGAGTCTCTTGTCCCATGGACCAACTCCAGCTCCACAGCTACTGAACATAGTCAGCTATCTGCTCACAAGCAGACTTTAGCGTCCCTGTTCTACTCTGAAACCTCAGTGAGCTTGGCAAGTCGCACACAAACCAATTGTCCCCCTGCTGCAGTTTCTAGCTGGAGCTCTCCCAGAGAGCAGAACGAGGACTAGCGCCACCAGCTGCAGGCCAACACTGTGGAACTGGAGTCCATCTGTGGGACCGAAGACTCACTGGAAAGGCAGCTGAACGACATCAGGGACCTCCGCAACAGTGACCTATAGCCAGCCTCTAGGTGGGAAACAGGACAGGGCAGAGCAGGCCAGGGCTAGCTAAAAACATATTTAGAAAAATAAATAAGAGCTCTGCCCAAACTTTCCTACTCCAGATGAACTAACCAAAAGTGTGACTGGTTGTGAAGCAGAAGCCCTTTTCAGAGAGCAGTCTGGTAAACTGACGACATACACTCATTCAGAAACTGGGACCTTTGACATGAATGTTCTTCATGGCTTTGTTTAGACCGACCCACAGCACACATACATCATCAGACATTTGGAAATGGACACTGCACTAAGTCACATAATGCATAATAAAGAACCAAGAGCCAAAATCAAAACCAGTCGCACTGTATTTGGGTTTAAACATCGTAGGAAGCTGTTCAAATAACTCACTTGTTGCCGAGTTTATTTAGGATTTCATCAACACCAAAAATAAACTTCCGTATGTGGTGATAATCGAACTACTACGTTAGCAACAATAAAGCTAAATATCCCAACAGCTGTGATGGAGCTGAGGACTCAGCTTGATGATAGCCAATATTAGCGCCTTGCAGAAGTCTTCACACACCTTTGTGTCACATTACAAGCACCTAAACGTCTTCTATCTGACGGACCAACACAAAGTAGTGCATGAACGTAAAGTCAAAGGAAAACAATGCGTTAAAGATTTTTTTACAAGTAAAAATCTGAAAAGTGTGGCGGGCACATGTATTCAGCCCCTTTACTCTGATACCTCTAAATAAACGTCAGTGCAACCAACAGTCTTCGGAGGTCACCTAATTATTAAATGGAGTCCACCTGTGTGCACTTCAGTCTGTTCTGTGAAGGCCTCAGAGGTTAGAGACCATCAGCAAATAAACAGCATCATGAAGACGAAGGAACAAGTCATGGAGAAGTTTAAAGCATGGGTAGGTTATAAAAACATAAGCCGAGCTTTGAAGATCTCATGGAGCACTGTTCAATCCATCATCCGAGAAGGAAAGTGTCCAGCACAACTGCAAACCTACCAAGACATGGCCGCCCACCTAAGGCGACAGGCCGGCCGAGGAGAGCATTTATCAGAGACCTCTGGAGGAGCTGCAGAGATCCACAGCTCAACGATCAGGGCAACGATTCGTCTAATCTGACCTTTATGGAAGAATGGTGAGAACAAAGTCATTGCTGAGAGAAAGCAAGAAGAAGTCCTGTTGGCATGTAGGGGACACAGCAAACGTGGAATAACAAGCAAAATGCTGTGCGTGGCAGAAACCTACCACTGCACATCAACCTGAACACACCATCCCCATCGTGAAGCACGGTGGTGGCAGCATCATGCGGTGGGGACGCTTTTCTTCAGCAGTTACAGGGAAGCTGGTCAGCTGATGGGAAGGTGGATGGAGCTAAATACTGGGCAACCCTGGAAGAAAACCTGGTCGGGGTTTACAAAAGACTTGAGACTGGGGCGGATGTTCACCTTCCAGCAGGACAACCACCCTCAGCATACAGCCAGAAATGCAGCGGTGCGGTTTAGATCAAAGCATATTCATGTGTTAGACCGGCCCAGTCAAAGTCCAGACCTAAATCCTATCCAGAATCTGTGGTAAGACGTGAAAAGTGCTGTTCACAGGCACTCTCCATCCAATCTGGCTGAACTGGAGCTATTTTGAAAAGCAGAATGAGCAGAGACACACCCCAAAAGACTGGTCACTGCAGCGAAAGGTGATTCAACGAAGCATCAACTGCGGGGGGCTGAACAACGTGCACGCCACACTTTCCAGATTTTAAATTTGTAAGGCAGTCTTGAACACCACGTATCATTGTCCTTCCACTTCACGACTATGTTTGTCCATCACATCCCAATAAAACACACTGAAGTTGTGCCGGTAACGTGACAACATGTGGAAAAGTTCAAGGGGTATGAATAACTTTGCTTCACTATTTTTTCTTCACAGCGGTACAGAACCATCAGCGGTCTCTGTCCATTTTGACTGATTCGTCTGTTAGCCTGACTTACACAGCTTTAAATGAACCACTTGTTCAAACCTGGTCCAGGACAGTCCAACACTTCGTCGTTTTGCTGAAGCCAAGTAAGATGAGAACATTTTCGATAACATTTAAGAAGAGGTGGCCTCCCTTCACACTCGGCGGCTTCACCACTGGTTTCATTTCATTTACAAATCAGTTCTGGCCCAGATGCCTCCCTGCCGGCCCTCTCTTCTTCACGTCGCCCATAATTCTCATCATACTGGGTCTAGTGACTACATCAGGCTCATCATCTCCAGTACTTCTACTATATTTGGCCGTAACTCCTTTCGCTTTGCAGCTGCTAACGACTGAACATTTTTCAAAACACTCTCAAACGTGCAACTCTGACTGCGCTCACCATCTTCAAGCTTAAATCCAACAGACTGTAGTCCACTGTTGCTCCTGCTGGACTTTACTTACATACTTACACACAAACACACACACTTTCTTACACCTCATGCACACCGTTTCTACCTCTCGTGCACATGCCCCCGTGCTTCCTACCTGTTTACTTTTGTTCTATGTTATGTTCATGTGTCTGTAGCCTCCATGTGTGTTTGTTCCTGCTGGCGCCTGTTTGCTAATGAGAACTGGTTCTCAAACGTTTCTACCTGGTAAAATAAAGGTCAAATAAAACTTAAAGAAAAAAGAAGTGACTGTGTGTGCATTGGGACCTCTACTAACACAGCTCTAGTTTAGCTCACATGGCACCACCTCAGCAAACACCTCAGCTAAACAGCCACCAGGTCGTTCACACGGTTTTCACTGAATTGAAAACTTTTCCAGGGTTACAGCTTTTCTACTGTTTAGATTCCTTACTGCACTGATGTTGCTGTATTTCTACTTATATTGTGCTCGTGTTTTATTGTACTTTGCACTCATTAGGCTTTTCCTTAATAAACGGGACCTGAGAACACACTTCGTAGCACCAACATGTGAATGTGAGCTGGCCTGACAGGTAAAGCTCCTCGAATCCTTGAAAACATGCGAGGACTATTGAATCCATGTCAGATGTTGGGGGACAGCGCTGGGAACAAAAAAGTTAGCTTGACGTAACCGGTCAGCTATTGAACTTGAACTACAGGTGCGTTAGCTGGTGATGCCAGCGGCACATCCGTCATGCTAAGAGCCGGTGTCCGTTATCCGCCGCAGCGTGAACACACCTAGCTCAACCTGGACAGCCATCTGAGCGACTGAATCTGAAGAACAGACGGTCAGTAGCATCGCCTGCAATCTGCCAGAGCCACTGCACAGCTGCTAGAACCAACACATCCACAATGACGAATTAGCTGGAAGAGGCTAGCAGCTATGTCGCTAACAACAAACACACCGAGCGGCAGGTGAGGACAGCCGGGCAGCTTAACGAAACGCTGAGCACAGTCTATTCATGACAACACAGCGAGAGTAGGTCGACGTCGGTTCGAGCCCAGTCCCCCTCGGTGTCCCCGCCGGTACAGTGCCGTGTTTTCAGCGATATTTCAGCGCTCGGACATAACAAGTCGCAGCAGGACGCGGAGCGACGGCGATGATTCGACGGAGCGGAGCGGAGCGCTGCCTGCAGCGACATTTCATAACGATTGTTGTCCACACAGCGCACACAAACACACGGCGGCGGAACCCACACATACACACAACCCCCACTGCCACCTGCTGCGTGGGTCACATCACGGAAAGCTTGATATGCGCCTAATTACCTGCTTTGAAGACGCTGTTGTTGTGATTCCGCTGCCTCAACCTGCTCTCCTCCGCCGCCATCTTTCTTGACCTGCTGATAGCGGCAGACCGCTGTGACGTCACATAGATATGAGCCGGGAGCCCCGCCCCCTGGCTAGCCCAGCTAGCGCCTGCTCCGCTAGCACTCATGTCCGGCCATGTTCAAGGTGACTGGCAGACTCTGTACATATAAATATACCTTTTTATATACATGGATGATACATGGATATTAACTACTTCACTTATAAGGAAACACATTTTGTTTCATGAGCACTCGACAGCAAAGCCTCACGGGAACTGTAGTTGTCATGCAGCACAGGAACAGGACTGCCCGCTGCTCCAATAAAGAGTTGTTGACTCACCGCTACTTGTGTTAGAAAAAAAAACATTTATGGGATGATTTTAGAGGCATCATGCTCCCATAATAACACATGTTGTAATAAAGCAGTGCAGTTTCCTCCTTACACAGGTTACGGTGTGTTATGTCATGATGAGGAGACACATCCCCTCACACAGGAACCAGCAGCCGGCCTAACATCACCTCACTGATTCACAATAGGGTCACCTTACAGTCATGGTATGACTTTCAGGGTATTGATTCTGACAAACTGACAGTTTATTAAAATACAGGCAGCACAGTAGGAACTAAACGCAACAAAAGTCATTCCTGAGGTTTAAATCTTAATTTTTTTTGGAATACTTTGTGTGTCCACCTTCATTTGTATTTGATTTCTGATGAGCTACTCAGTCCTTTTCAGCATAAGAGACATGTAGAGATGGTCTGTCATGGAGGGGTTGTGTTGCCTGATGGTGTCCTATTATGTATTCTATACTGAGCCAGGTCATCGTTTTTACTTTTTCTTCTGCTGAACCTCGTGAGTGATTTTGATGGTATGCTTTGGATCATCATCATGCTGGAATATTCCTCCTCTGCCAAGCTTCTGCAGACCTGGAACCATCTTGTCAGCCTGTGTTTTGGTATATTCACAGGCATTTCTCTCTTACAACGTTTAGCCTCATTTCGCCTCATATCATCACACTTCCACCGCCGTACTTCACCATCAGGACTATGCATTCACTGGGATAGTCCGGCCAGGTTCATGCTGGACAAATCTATTTTGACCCTTATCTGATCAAAGAAAGCGTTTTTGTTTGTTTTTTATAGTATTTAGGAGAGTTTGATCCTGTGGTTTTGTGCTGAACAGCAAGCAAGGATGGAGCTTGATGGTATGCTTTGTCCTTTGTACCCTTTGTGCTGTCACAGAAACTCTGACTTAGCTTTAAAACCCCGTCTACAAAGCTTGATTGTACAAGAAGCACATTGTCCATGGCATCATTTCAGGAGAACAGTCAATTAGTGGCACTAGTGCTCGTTCTATACCTCCTCCTTACCACTGAGTCCACAATGTTTTAGATAGTCACAGGTCTGTCTGGATCCTTTTACACCTTGTGAAGTCTCACAATCAGATTTTTCCTTTTCTCTGGAAATCCTTCTACATGTGGAGTCATGATTCAGACATGTTGATAGACACAGCCCATTGGTCCAAAACTGAGAACGTTCTGGTGTTCACAGCACATTTTATAACCAATAGATTAACTGTGTACTCAGGAGAAGGTAGTTTCACTAGTCCCAGGTTTTCTAACTTGTGTTTCAGGGAGTCCCATCAGTTTTGTTCAGTTCAATTCAGATTTATTTGTGTAGCGCATATTTACAACAACAAGTCGTCTCATAGTGCTTTTGTTGCATTGAGTTTCTCCTTTGGAGCCTTTTCACTAAACACTGTTGTATTTTAGTATTTGTTTGTGATTGTTCGTGATAAGGAAATACTTTACAAATCCACCAGAAATAACGCAGTCATTGAGAGGTGATACAACTCCGGCAGCAGTGTACTCACTTCTGATGTATACTGGAGCAGTTTTAAACCACTTCAAAGTGAAACCTGCATTTATTGATTCTTGACCACTTGGGAGTAGTAGTTCACTCCCTCTGCAGACTCAGGAAAACAGGCCTTCCCACCACACATCTCACCACCTTCTACAGCGGCACCGCTGAAAGCTTCCTGACCCATGGCTTCACCACCTGGTTCGGGTGCTGCAGCGCCAAGGACAGAAAGCAGCTAAACAGACTGGTCAAGACAGCCAGCAACACCACTGGTGCTCCACTGCCCTGCCTGATGGAGCTACACCAGCAGCGCTGCATTAGTAGAGCCACCTCCATCATCATGGACCCGCTCCACCCCTCCCACCACATCTTCTCCCTTTTGCCAGCAGGGAGGAGATGCAGCAGCATCAGCTGCAAAACTAACAGGAAGCTGAATAGCTTCTTTCCCCGGGCTGTAAGACTTATTACTGGCCTGTCCCCCATCCCCACATGCACACCCACTCTCACCCTGGTCACCTGGACAGCTTGTCACCTGTCAAGCCAAGAGACTAAATGCACTTTGAGAGATTGGACTGTATGTTATCTGATTTTATGACTATATCAGTTTATGATGATGTAAACTATTTTATTGATGTTTCTATTGCACTGCCTAACTGATCGAGAAACGTAATTTTGTTCTCTTGTGTATGAGAACGCATGACAATAAAATCTTTGAACCTTGAGGAGCTGGAAACTTTCACTGCTCTCTATATGACGGTCACAAGTGACCTGAGACAGGAGACCCAACAGGGCATGGTTGACAGCTAGGTTACTCCTCCAGCATGGCAACGGTTTCTGCTGGAGTTTTTCCCAAATTAGCCAAGAACCTGATGTCAGTCCTTTGCTCAGGATTCATTCTGTGACAAAGGGCTCTTGACTTGAGCTAGAAACCCTTCTGTGAACAGAAAGATGATAAGTCAACTGAGAACCGCTGTTCTCCTACAGTGTGAAGATGCTGGGAAACACCATGATGTACGTCATCACTGTGTGGCCGACGATCAGCAAGCAACGTCCTGTTTCTGTTTGGTCACACCTCAGGATTCAACGTATGCCATTTGGGACTGTTAGCAGAAAGTTGCGTTCACCCCAATATACAGGGAGAATGGACTCTGTGAAGGTAATAAACATCACATCACTGGCGGTGCATCCCAGTGCGTCCAGAGGGTGTATCTATATAATAAACAAAGGTACACCCTCATAGACTCAAATAAAATGGCAGTAAATCAAAAAACTGCTAAGGTTACGAGATGGTTTGCTGCTGACCTGGTAGCTACCCTCGCCACAACTAACCCGTCATAAATAAACTGGAATATATCTGCTGTTGTTGCTGTTGTTGTTTCAGGCCAATAGCAGCTATGGACTGTGCTAACTGAGGTGTGACATCACTGTTTCCCAAACTCTCCACACAGACACTCGTAAACCAAAGTGCTTAATAATCTTCTTTTTAGAAAGCTTGTGTTTGAAATGTTTGAAAAAAATCAACACGTTGTTGGCCTGTGAGAGGACTGAGTTGTCGGCTTCACCCGGAAACACGGGGCGTCTCTTCCACCTGTACCTCCAAAGCCGTACATCAGTGTCCACAAAAATCGAAGGTTTAAAGCAGTGGAAGAACAAAGAGGGTTGTAAGGCCGTTAAAGCACCCTGTTTGTGTATGGATGGAGAGGATGAAGAGCTTCTGTCTTTAATTAATTTATTTCACCTGTTTCTGACGGTTATTACTTCATTGGCCAACTTTCAAACCATTCTCAGGAATACAGGACAGCTCTGCAGCTCTACAAAACTTCAGGCTGTAAAATCCTAACCAGACATAATTCAGCCTGAATATCAGAACTTGTGTTTGAAAACTTATGACTTCTGTGGAAAATCAATTAGCCCATCAGCTGATTGCCTCCTGCCTCTCACTGAACGCTGTGTGTCAGGAGTAAATGTCCTGTTTCTGTGAATGCATCCATCGTCATGCTCAGATTTTAGCCAATGTTCTTGACACAGAAGAAGAAGCTGCTGTCTTAGGAACACACAAAGAGGAGGCTGCAGGCTCAAACTCTGACCTCGTTTCTTGGTGTGAAAAGATATGAAAGCACATGCTCTGCCGCTGGTTCTGCTCAGATTACAATCTGTCTTCACACCTGGAAGTCAGCATGGTTGAACGTCTGACGACAGTCCAGTCAGACTGGTTCATGGCTGTCTTTACTCTGCCTTCAGTAAAACAGAGCCGGCACATCACAGGCAGCTGGAGCACCACCAAACCTTAAAGCGTCCTTTACCTCCTTTCAGATCCTTTTTAGACATGATGCAGATCAATAGAAGTAATAAAATCTCTGTTCTATGTTCCAATGGGGACGTCTGTTATGAATTCCCATAAAACCAGGCTCTGTCCACCAGCTGGGAGTGTGATGCAGCTGAACACGTCCAGCGTCTGTGTGGATGATGGCTGCATGGTTCCCACAGAGGAATCACCTCTGAAATCATTTAGTCTCTGAATTACTGATGGAAACGCTGAACTAGCTGCAGTCTTGGACGATCACCGATCACATGAAGTTGTAGCAGATCATCATCCTTCTGCAGCAGCTTCTGAAAACGTTCATGATTTTACGTCTGTCAGGCTGATGTCAGACCCGATTACCTCCTCCTACACTGAAACTAATGGAACTTAGTTGAATTAAACAAAAAAAAGTTGCATATATTTTGTATATGTATATAGCCATCATCTCTACACCGTAACCCTCACTAGGGTGGTGGGGGGCGGAGTCTATCCCAGCTGACTCAGGGTGAAGGCAGGTTCACCTGGACAGGTAACCAGTCTATCACAGGGCTACACTTAGAGACAGACAACCAAGCACACTCACATTCACACCTACGGACAATTTACAATCACCAATTAACCTCAGCATGTTTCTGGACTGTGGGAGGAAGCCGGAGAACCCGGAGAGAACCCACGCTGCACGGGGAGAACATGGAGACTCCACGCAGGAAGATCCCGGGTGTCCTCACCGGGACGCCAACAAAATGTTTTTTTTAACAGGTGTCTTACAGCTCAGGCACCTATCAAAGCTTTTTTATCTGCTTCAAATGAAAAGACACGTTTGTGATGGATTGTCATATAATTTCCTGAACACATAAACATACGAC